GCTCCCACCCCACCCTCACCCAACCATACATATCTGCTCCCACCCCACCCTTACCCAACCATACATATCTGCTCCCACCCCACCCTTACCCAACCATACATATCTGCTCCCACCTCACCCTTACCCAACCATACATATCTGCTCCCACCCCACCCTTACCCAACCATACATATCTGCTCCCACCCCACCCTTACCCAACCATACATATCTGCTCCCACCCCACCCTTACCACGAATGTATCTCTCCTTGAGTCTCTTTTTTTAAACATTATGTTTTCTTTCTCTTCTTCAGCCTCAAGACTGCCTTCTTCCTTTGGCTCTGGTAAAAGGCTGTTCTTGTGAAAATTGCCTAGCCAGTTAAGCAGCAGGCCCTCAAACAAAGGGGTTGTTAGAGGGTGCTTGAGAAGGAGGCAGAGGCCTAGGTCAATGTCTTCACTTCCTTGACTGTGGTTGTTTTTAGCCCAGACTGGAAGAGCAAGGCTCGGTCTAGGGAGCACTTCGTTTTTTCCTCAGACTCTGCCACTTGGGGGCATCCTCAGGAATGGATGCCAGCCTCACCCTGAGGGACAGGCACACACACACACACACACACACACACACACACACACACACACACACACTTTTGTCCTAAGCAATCTTTGTCCATAATTCACTTGGACACTTAAGGAAGTAACAAGGAATTAAAATATATATTATATTAATTATATTATATATGATATGTGTGTGTGTGTGTGTGTGTGTGTGTGTGTGTGTGTGTGTGTGTGTGTGTGTACATACATACCCACACTGAATTTACAGGGAATAGAAGCATTCTGGTGAAAAAGAAGAAAGAAACTTGGTGCAGATATTAGGAACGTCCTGAAAGTTTTCCTGCAAGAGAGACTTCTGTTCTTTATGTATTCCTCTTAGGCCCATTGTATGAGAGGGGAAAGGTTGTGGTTAATGAGGAGGCTATTTTTAGTTTAAAAAATAGGACACTGTGCAAAGGAAAATTTCCAGTCCTGGTTATGATTTTTGTCACTAAACCATCAAGTCAGATTCATGCCATTTTCATGTTGTATATTCAAATTTGAGGTCTGGAAAGTGTAGGCTAGATTTTACTTCCAGAACATTTGGGGTATTATTTTGCATGTGAGGGGATGGCCGCAAGGCTTGTCTCTATTACACTGTTTCAAAAATTGAAACGGAGACAAGCTGGGAGGCCAATGAAACAGAAGGAGGAGAATGATTCGTAAATAGGAAACAAACAGATCCATCAACACATGCTTGGCGCTCTGAACGACTGAGGGAACTTTCTAGACCACTGAAGAGGGAGCGCGATTACGATGCTTTTATACAACTTCAAGATTGTAGCTAGAGTTTTCCTGCCCGGCCCACAGTCAGGACAAATCTCTCTCACCTGCCAGTCCCACAGCCGCTCAGACCCAACCAAGTAAACACAGAGACTTATATTGCTTACAAACTGTATGGCCGTGGCAGGCTTCTTGCTAACTGTTCTTACAGCTTAAATTAATCCATTTCTATAAATCTATACCTTGCCATGTGGCTCGTGGCTTACTGGCATCTTCACATGCTGTTTCTCATCATGGCAGCTGGCAGTGTCTCTCTGACTCAGCCTTCCACTTCCCAGCTTTATTCTCCTCCTTGTCCCGCCTACACTTCCTGCCTAGCCAATGGCCAATCAGTGTTTTATTTATTGACCAATCAGCAACACATTTGCCATACAGAACATCCCACAGCACAAGATTCCAAAGCCAAACACATAGGCAGGGCCAAAGGGAAATTAGTTTCCATTGCTCTTGGGGCAACAGGCAAATTTTAACTAATTAGAAGGGTAAACGACCAATAATCCCAAGTGACTTTTTTTCTTTTGCCTCTCTTGCTTAAAATCTAACTTTCAAGCTTGCCCCCAGATAATGACTACTCTTTTATTTTTTATCTTTTGGGTTTTTGAGACAGGGTTTCTCTGTGTAGTTTTGGTGCCTGTCCTGGATCTTGTTCTGTAGCCCAGGCTGGCCTCAAACTCACAGAGATCCGCCTGGCTCTGCCTCCTGAGTGCTGGCGTGTGCCACCACTGCCTGGCTATGATGACTGTTCTTAATGAAGTGACTTTCCACTGTGAGGAAAGGCTTGGAATAGCCAATGGGATTCATAACCATCCATGAGCCCTCGGGAGTTGGGCAACGTCCGGTATTTGGATGTTGTAAGCATTTTGAGACCCTCCGCTTTGGCATATGGTCTGCCCCATACAATGGGTTATGTTTTCTGGGCATACAGCTTGACTTTAAACATTTAAATGCCTCTGATAACCTGTGCTTCATGGAAAAATGACAGCTATCTGACCTCCTTGCTTTTCTTCCTGGCAGGCTTGGCTAATCAACCTCAGAGTTGCCTATCAGTGTACCCTGCCCCAAGAATTTTTTTCATTATAGCTTGGCAGACACTCCAAATTGATATGACATGCGAGTTGACACCTGCTATGACATCTGGTTGCTGCAAATTTTTATCTTCCATGCATGAGTTTACTGAGTCTTTGAATCAGAGTCGATTTTGAGAGTGGGAAAGAAAAGCAAGTGTAGGTTTCTGGTTCTCAGGGGAAGGCTAGGGCTTCCTGTCAGGGCTGCTTATAAGTTCAGCCAGTAACTTGACAGAGCTGTGCATTACTGAGTACCACTTAGGCTTATTTCCATGTTGGGATTTATAATTAAGTCGTGAGGTTAACATACGAAGGGGTCTCACTATGGTGAGACCAACTCGTTCGTTCTGCCGTTTTGTCTCAACAGCAGTTGAGGGAGAGAGGAAGGGCTGGGAGGTGAAGACAGGGAACTGAGAGACTGCACTCAGTTGTCCGGTGGGGAATGGAGCCTCCATGGCACTGGAATGGGCCAGGTGAAGGTGCTCTAACCCGGAGCTGTGGGGTCTGTCTTTCATCATGAGCTGCCAGGTGCCAGCTGTACCCAGTGTTGCAGACTTGAATGGGGATGTGCTCTGAGAACCTTTACAACGCAGTCTGCATCCTTGGGGTCATACTGCCCAGCAGTAACATCTACCATTCAACTAAACAGACCAAGAGTTGAAAATTTCATTTATTCTTTGTTTCTATCTGGTGACTAATAACACAGTTCCTTGGAGATCTGTTATTTCCTGGACCATTTTAACTTGATTCGTGTTCATGGTTACATTTTCCACTTCACATATTGACATGTATTTACCTGACAAAATTGAAATACAGCACTGAGTGTTGGGGGAATCCTGTCTAATAAGTACCCCATATCCAGATCAAGATTGAATTTTGAAGGGGACACACTGATGACTTTTTTTTTTTTTGGTTTTTCAAGACAGCGTTTCTCTGTGTAGCTTTGTGCCTTTCCTGGAACTCATTTTGGAGACCAGGCTGGCCTCGAACTTGCAGAGATCCTCCTGCCTCTGCCTCCTGAGTGCTGGGATTAAAGGCGTGCGCCACCACAGCCTGGCCCCCCACACTGATGACTTTTAGCAAGCACTAGCTTCACATTTCCTTAGGCTGGTACCTATTATTTTAAAATTACTAAGTGTTTTACCAGACCTTTTTATAGATAATATATGTGAAGCTGATTGTCTCCTGGGTTAGATTTTACAGTCTTACTTCAACCGTCCTTTTCACTTGAGATTTTAACTGACTCTGTGAGGACCAGTTTCAACATTCATTTCAATTAGAAACAACAAATCTATTTCTCCAGTTCTCCTGCTCTCTTCCCCTCTCCCCTGCCCCCTTCCTTTTCTTCTCACTTCTACTCCTGTGAGACAGGCTCTCCTGTAGTCCAGGCTTGTCTTAACCTCACTGTGTAGCCAAGGATGACCTGAACTCTGAGCCTCCTGCCTCCACTCTCCAAATGCTGGGCTCACAGGTATGTGCCAGTGACATCTGGCTTATGGGGTGCTAGGGATGGCAAACAGGGCTTTGTGTATGCTAGGCAAACACTCTCCCAACTGCTACGTGCTCAGGCCTCTGATGATTCTTCTGTGATGATATGCAGTTGCTTAAGAAAACCAAGATGTGTATACTAAGTAAACGTCGTACTGCAACAGTTAAAATCCTGGAAGGACTACCAAGTGAAAGTCATTTAGTGTTGGGAAGGCCAAGGGATGCCTCCAGTGTTCCCCTGCCCCCCCCTGCCCACCCTGCAGCCATGCACAGCCACGGTCTGCTCTGTATCATCTGATCTGCCATAGCTCAAATGCACCTGCTAATGCTGTCATCGTTAGTCAACAGTTGCATCCTGTTTACTAGGTATGAGTCTTGCTGATACACAGGTCATGGTCATTAATCTCTGCTCTGTAACAGGGTCTTTGACCTGTATGCAAGTGCAGCTGAAGGACTGTCATAGGGAAAGAGGACAAAGTTAGTGTAGTGACCTGAATAAGTCTTGAAATATTCCTTGTAGGAGCCACAACTTAAGTCTTTAAGTTTTGAATGAAATGATCCTGGATGGAAGGGTGTTATTTTAGTTTGCTTTTCTGTTGCTATGGTAAGTGCCATGCCCAAAAAGAAATTGGGAGAAAAGGGCTTATTACATCTTACAGGTTTCAGTCCATCATCCAGGGAAGCCAAAACACAAACTGAAGCAGGGACCATGGGGAATCAGCTTACTGGCTTGCTCCCTGGCTCCCATTCACACCGTTTTAATACAGCCCAGGCCCACCTGCCTAGGGGTGGCATTGCTCACAGCAAGCCTGATCCTCCTACATCAGGTAGAAATCAAGGAAATGCCCAGAGACTTGCCCACAGGCCAGTGTGACGAGGCAGTTGTTCAGCTGAGGTTCCTTCTTCCCAGCTGTGACAAAGGACAAGATTCGCTGTCACAAGAGTATTTTCTGAGTGCGCTCTAACGCTCCCTTGTATCACGTGGGACTCGAGCCACGCTAGTCACTGGTTTAGAAGGAAAAGGAGCGACTGTGTCAGTACAAATGGTGTCGTCTCTGTTGTCTGATGTTCTCTCGCTGCTGACTGCTGTCTTGCAGCTGCTCCGATCTGCTGCTGATTGGTCTGCTGGGATAAAGCACCACGAGGAGTCGATCCACACTGCCTACACCTATGTGATAGAGAACAGCAAGCACTACATCTACATTGAAGTAAGTACGTCAGCAAGTCAGTTACGCCGCCTGCCTTCCAAGCGTCTAAGTTCCTAGTGCTGTGACAAACACACGACCCAGAGCAGTTTGGGGGAAGGAAAGAGTTTATTTGGTTTACATTTCCACGTCACAGTTCATCGCCGAGGGAAGTCAGGGCAGGAAGTTAAGCAGGGCAGGGACTTGGAGGTAGGAACCAAAGAGACCATGGAGGAACGTGGCTTACTGGCTTACTTCCCATGGCTGGTTCAGCCTCCTTTCTTACGCTACCCAGGAATACCTGCCCAGGGTTGGCAATGTGGCAATGCCCCATTGAAGGACTGGATGCTCCCGTATCAATCATCGATCAGGAAAACGCTCCACAGAATTACTTGCCCATGAGCAATCTGATGGAGACATTTGCTCAATTTAGGTTCATCTTCCTAGACAACTTCAGTTTGTGTCGAGTTGACGAAAAACTAAACAGGACACCAAGTATCATCTAAGACTGTAGGGACCCCATTTCAGGAGTCCATATTAATAAGCATGAGTTGAGTTATGAAGGATTCCAGGGAAATACTGATTGAGGTCATTTGTATTTCCATCTCCCAGCATACCTGAATTCACTCTGCACCATCTTTAATTCAAGACTAATGGAGTCTTGCAAGCCCTTGTGGTACTAACATGTATCAGCTTATGAATATATATATATATATATATATATATATATATATATATATATATATATTTTTTTTTTTTTTTTTTTCCTGGAACAACCCCAGCATGGATGTGGAGGTTTTCACTGGGGTATGGTTAGAAAGTCTAGCATGAAGCATGTGCTATTTCAGGGGATCACACACATGCACACGTGCTCATGCACACACACACACACACACACACACACACACACACACACACACACACGTACGTGTGCTATGGGGAATCCTGGTGTAGGGAAAGACAGGGAAGGGAATGTGGGAATGGGTGATGTGAGGACGTTAAAACTGAGAGCCACTATTCATGATAAAGCCTTTCCAGACCACAGACTATGTTCAGAGTCCATGAGAAAATCTGAGAGCATCAAGATTTTACTGTGGGAACTTTAATTGAACTTCAAAGTAGATACAGAAATAGTACAAAACTCTTTGGAACCCCTGAGAAAAATAAAGAATCCCAATAATGGGGGGAGCAGACCAACACTTATCTCCATCCTTTATCCTGGTTTTATTTTCCATTGAATAAAAATAGAATGTTTAGCCAGAAGTGGATTGTTGGGAAGACCATGAACCCTGTTTTCCCTCTCTTAGAGTCCTGCTACTCTTCCCTTCCACAGAGTGGCAGTTGATTAAGGAGCATCAGCAAACAATTGTAGCTTTACTTATTTCTCAGACCCGGAGAAAGATAAACTAATTCAAAATATTAGCAGCCTAAATGCCTGTGTGTCCCACATGGGATCATGCCTCAGATAACAGACATTTGTGGAAACCAGGGATTTAATAGGACATTTGTTATCATTAGCTGTGAGAATGATGCTGTCATTGCAAAAGATGTGACAGTTGCCTTATCCAGCATCCAGTCATTTGTTTCATTTTTTAAAATAGCCTTAACACCAGCATCTTAGTTACTTTTCTTGTTGCCAGGGTAAACAGCTAACAAAAGCAATTAAGGCAGCATTGGTTTACTTTGGCTGGCGGTTCTGAAGGCTACAGTCCGTCATGGCAGTGAAGTCAGGCCACAGGAGCAGGAGGTGTCTGGTCACATGACACACACAGTCAGGGAGCAGGGTGGTGATGGATATGGGTGCTCAGCTCCCTTTGCCTTTTTAATCAGTCTGTGGTCAGTTTGTGAAACGGAGCTGTCCATACTTAGGGTGTGTCCTACCACCTCAGTTAACCTAATCTATATAAGCCCTCACCGACATGCCCATGGGCTGGTTTCCATGGTGATTCTAAATTCCATCAAGTTGACCATCATGACTATTACAGCCAACTTTTCTTGCCCATGCCAGCATGGCATTGAATGAGGTCAGCAATGCCATGTGGGCATTCATGATTGTGGGCATTTCTCTGGGTGATACGCATCAAGGTAAACAGTTAGCATGTACCTTAATCTTCAGAAGAAAAAAAGAAAGAGAGAAAACAAGCAAGCCATGGCATGTGGCAGTCTGTTCTTGTAGCTGATGAGGCATGCTAACCTTCTTTGCAGCAAGAGTTGTTCGAATCATGTTCTCAGAAGAGGGTCTGCACAATTCCTTCCTGCAAGTTGTCTCCTGGAGCCATTGTGCCTATGTGTTCCCTGCTGTGTAAAATCCTGTGCACTTATAAAAATGGTACTGCTGTCAAAGGGCGCAAATTTCCTTCGAGTTATTCCTTGAGATGGTTAGAAAATATTGCTTGAAGATTCATTTTGTTAGAAAATTACACTTGTGTTGTAACAATCTGGATTCTATTTCAATAGGCTGTACTCATAATATTTATTGGTTGTTTTTAACATTCTTTTATGCAGCAATAAAAATCCTTTGGATCATTAGGATAATAATGTAGCCATTTTCTAACAATAGTTTTAAAGAATATTTTATAGATCAATGAATAACAGAAGTGCTTAAAACAAATAAAAACTTTTTCCTAATATATATATATTAGAGATTTCAAATATTTTTATATATATTTGAGAGCCAGGGAGATGACCCCCTGGAGAAAGTCCTTTCCATATAAGCTTGAAGGATTAGAGTTCAAATCCTTAGCACACACATAAATGCTGGGTGAACTTCCTGGAAGCCCTACCCTCACTTGCAAAGTAGAAACAGGAGATTCCCAGAGCAGACTGGCAAACTCTCACCATGTCCTGGATTCAGTTGGGAGCCCTTCCTTGCCTTGTTAATAAGGTGGAGAGAGATGAAAGGTGACTCCCGAGGCAGGCTGGAACCCCCACAAGCACACATGGGCACTCTGACCAGAACAAACACATGTGCACACACCCATGACCATGCACACCACACAGAAAAAAAATTCTTTGGAAGAGATTTGCAACTGTTTAAGACAGAAGTTCAGGGTCAGGAGAGACCCAAAGACAGAAGACGAAGTGAAAGCAGATGCTAGGAAACACTGGAGAGACCTGAATGAGCAGGACTTCTGTCAGTCAGAATGCTTGCCAATGTAGAACGTTTATCACAAGCATGTGCGCGGTGTAGGAATCAAAAGGAAACCTAACTTAGAAATGTCCTTAGCATTCTAAGAATGTAATTTCGACATTTGTGTTAGGAAAGCCACAAAGCCTTCGACTTGAGGAAGATGTACTATTCACAGAATGACGTAATGCTCATGAGACCTGGGGTCACATGACACTTTCCATACTCTGAGCCATTTGCTTTCCTCGTGGGATTCTCTGGCCTCAGCATATCCATGTGTTAACCATTTTTTAAATAATCAGTATAGTGTTTGTTCCCTCATTCTCCACAGCTTCCAGAGAAAACAAGACCTCATACAAGTGTCCTATTTTTCTCACAGAACCAATTTTTTATAAGCTGCGCTGATGATAAAGTCGTGTTCAACAAGGTGGGCGATGCTATCGCCCAAAGAATCCTGAAAGCCCACAGGTAAGGTTCGCTTTGAACAGCAGTTTGAGCCAAACTACTGTAGCTGCTGTTGCTTTGCATGAGGTGGTTACAAAAGCTTGTGTTGGAAATGGACTCTTCTTTAGCTGTCTTGTGAGTCCGTTGCTGTGAAATATTCAGTTTATCTTGGTGGGAATCTGAATTTTTCCAGGATGCAATCAGCTTCCTGGCCTGCCTTTTTCCCACATATGGGGTTTGTGTTCTGATTTATTTCATGGCAGATAGTGAGCTATGCTCACACAAACCAAACAGAGCAGACAGAAAACGTTGCCACAGGGTTATATTTCAATTCTTGTTCCCAAATGTCATATTTCTTTAGCTCATAGAATTATTTCTCAGCAGTCTTATTCTGATCATATCCATATAGTATGCAATCCCCCCAATAAACTGAATAGTTCAACAGCTTAGCATGTTCACAAAGTAGATGTCGCTCGACCGGTTTTGTTATGTTTATTTTGATAATGATGCTACTATTACGTATGTGTATGCACATGGTACACCCATACACAGCACATGACATCATCCATGTGTGGAGCTCAGAATAGAGCTTCCATGAGTCAGTTCTCTCCTCCTTCCATGTGGGTTCCCAGGATCAAGCTCAGGCGGTCAGGATTGGCAGCAAGCACTTTTTCTCTGGCAGCTTTTTATGAGTATTTTCTTCTAAGAATTTGTTTTCATGTAAAAAAATGTTGTTTTTGATTTGGTGTGTATGTGTGTGTGTAGGTGCACACATGCCCACGGAGCTATCTTGCTGTCCTGATAATTTTTAGTTTTGTCTGGTAATATTTGTGTCTTTGAGTCACTGTGAGCTGTCTTTGTGTTTCGTGTGAGTTAGCGGTCCACTTTCACTGTGTTTGTGGATATAGATGCCCTAGCGCTATTGGTTGAACAGACTATGGCTACACCATCCTGAACGCACCCCTCCATGAGTTGTTTTGACTTCTGGGACTAATGATTTTGTTTGTGGCTAATTTGAACTCCATGCAAAAGTAGACAAATCAGCAGAGCCATTACACCTCACTATTTAAAGCCTTTGAATGTATGCAGTGAAAAATGTCACATTTATACACTTTTGGAGACAAAACCATTTTTCCATCCTTTTTCACATAATATGTAGAGATTTTAGAATGAATTACATCTTAATGGTAACTATCAATATTTTATCTCTTTCATAGTTTTTATTTATATCATCTTATTGAATCTTCACAATTGTGGAAGTGGGTCTGGTAGTTGTGGATGTTCAATAGATCATATGATTTGTGCTGTTATTTATTTTTCTTGTTGTTATGACAAAATGCCTCCCAAAGCAATTTAAGGCAGGAAGGCTTTGCTTTATCTCATAGTTTGAGGATACAGTCTGCCACAGTGGGGAAGGATGGCAGGATGTGAGGTGATGTCTGCCTTACATCTATAGTCAGAGACGGACACTGGTACTCAGCTTGCTTTCCTTGCTTTAACTCAGCCCAAGGCCCCAGTCAATATTAACCGTCAGTATTAACCCATTCAATATTAACCGTCAGTATTAACCCAGTCAATATTAACCATCAGTATTAACCCAGTCAATATTAACCGTCAGTATTAACCCAGTCAATATTAACCGTCAGTATTAACCCAGTCAATATTAACCGTCACACTTGTCTAGGCTGCTTCTCAGCAATAGGCCACAATAGCTCCAAGCCCCTAGTCTTCAGGATTTTGAAGGAGCAAGTGTTTCCTGATAGCTTGTGAATATGATCCATAGATGGTTAGGAAGAAAGGTGCGTTCACCACACGGGGTTTCCTCGAGTGGAGATAACTGGGGTGGGCCTTTATGGCACTTTCCCCTTCACCAGTCACTACACATACTGATCCCAGAGATGGGAAGGAATGAAGCAGGTTCCTTTGGTCCATGGAGGGTAACATCTGGAGAAGGTTGTCACTGGGAGTCAGCAGCCAGGCCTCTCAGCAGTGGGGATGGCTGCCTCCACCCCGTGCTGAGAGGATCTGGCTAGGCCTGCATTCTGGGCATCTTGTGGATGCTCAGCAGTGCTCACTCTCCACTGCTCATTAGAATCCCCACCAGGCTTCTGTAAAACTGCACACAGTTTGTCCCAGCTTCACATTGGCTGGATTGGATTACAGTTTCCTAGAGGGAGGCCATTGGATTGTACATTGCTGCAAAGATGGCCCCAGGCACAGCCAAGATTGTGTGGCACTCATCTGGAACACATAGACAGCTAGGAATAATAGTGTCTGTGTCTGGCTTCACAAGCAACATTTACTCTTTCCTCTCTGGATACTTTTTAAAGACACCAGAAAGGATTTATAAACAGCCTTGCTTGCAGTTGGGCGTACATATGCACACAGATTTCTCACACTCCTGGTCTCCCTAGTCTCTGGAGCAATTGGGGGACTTTGAAAGAATTCATTATTTTTCCATCAGCTTTGACATTTCATTGATGCCGAGGTGCCTGCTTTATTTAGAAGGCACATTTGGCAAAAGCAAAAAAAAAAAAAAAGCATGGTTTTATGAAGTTGTAGTAAATCACAGAACAGTATTAAGTCGGCAAATGAGTTCATTGCGGTGAATGGTGGGTTGTGACTTTTGGAACTGTCATTAACTGATAAATGCAATTGAATGAACTGGAACGTTCATCTCTCTTAGTTCCCTATAGGTACCTGCAAGCTGGGGTTGGGTTGTTTGAGAGCCTGAGAGGATATTTTTCTGTGTGTATGTGTACACCTGTGAGAGTGAGTGAACGTGTGTGTTTGTGTGTGTGTATGTGTTTGTGTGTGTGTGTATGAGTGTGTGTGTGTGTGTGTGTGTGTGTGTGTGTGTGTGTGTGTGTGTGTGTGTTTGTGTGTACAGGCCAGAGGATAGCCTCAGCTTCCATTCCTCAGGTGCTGTGGGCTATCACTAGACAAGAAGATTGAATAATTGATTAAAATGTATAGAAGTATTCAAGTCAGAAATGCTTTAGAATGTCAGTACTTCAAAGTGAGTAGAGGAGGTAAAAGACCTCAATTGAAAGTATGTCCAAGAGAAAGATTGAACTTAAAAAAAATCAAGACTGATACTGAAATAAAATGTTTAAGTTAAGCCAGGCATGGTGGTGCATGCCTTTAATCCCACCAGAGGCAAGCAGATCTGTGTGAGTTCAAGGCCAGCCTGGTCTACATAGTTCTAGGATAGCCAGGCTATACAGAGACTATCTCAAAAAAAATTAGATTAACATTGATGCTCTCTCTCTCTCTCTCTCTCTCTCTCTCTCTCTCTCTCTCTCACACACACACACACACACACACACACACACATCTATGTAATTATCTACCTATCTCCTATCTCTTTTTCTTTTTACTTTTCTTTCTTTTCCTTTTTTCTCTCTCTCCCTCTTTCTTTCTTTCTTTCTTTCTTTCTTTCTTTCTTTCCTTCCTTCCTTCCTTCCTTCCTTCCTTCCTTCCTTCCTTCCTTCCTTCCTTCCTTCTTCTCCCTCCCTCCCTCCCTCTCTCTCTCTCTCTCTCTCTCTCTCTCTCTCTCTCTCTCTCTCTCTCTCTGAGGCCGTCTCTCACTAGTCTAAAATTCACAAAGTAGACGAGGCTGGGTGGCCAGTCAGTCTTGAATATGCATCTGTGTCCACCTCCAGGCAACAGGATTAACATCATGTACTATCACAGCTGGCTTTTTGAAACATGTGAATTCTGGGGGTTGAACTCAGGCCAGGTCGCCATGCCTGAAGGACAAGTACCTCACTGATTGAGCTGTCGCTGCAGCCCAAGAACATTTTTCTCTACTGTTTCAATTCTCATCGAGAAAGTTGATATATTCCTAAAATTAGAATTTTAGAGCAGGGAAGAATTCATGGCATTTTCTGATCACATATTCCCCAGCGATCCTGTGAGCTGATTCTGAAGGGAATCCTAAGAGTGTGGAAGGCAGGGTCTGTCTCAGACTGTACCTTTTGATTTTACTTAATAACTTGAACTCTGTGGGCTAGTGTTCTTAGGCAAGGTCATGACAGAACACAAAGCCCCATTTGCAGGCTGCCTGAGGTGGGGACCCGTCATGCTTAGCAGTGGCCTGGGCCCTGCTCCTTCTCTTTCTTCATAGATCTCTCTTGCCAAAGACACATTCTTAGCAGCATGTCTAGCTCAGTGGCCGGAGAAGGACTAGACGAGCCCACAGAGCAGATGCATGAAGTGGCAGCCAACTGCCAAGCCTGAGCAAGGAACATGGGCCTTAGCCAGGGCCCTCGCACCTCGGGTAGATCTGAGTCCCCAAGGTGCCACCTCTGCTAGGCTGTCTCATTTTTCTGCCAGCCTTGGAATGGAGCCTTGTCCCAGTTCCCCAGAGCCATTTACTCCCTTTCCACGGCCATCATTCTTCACAGAAACAGGATTCTGCCGGGTCTCCGTGACGTGGTCCATGACCTAGATTCTCAAGCCCATGTTCATTCCGCAGTAAATGAAGAGAAGCCAGGGGAAATGCTGCAGAAAACATCGTGTCTGCTCTAATACCTGAACCTGTCTCAGAGTTGGAAGCAGCTCCCAGGCCACTTGAAACATGCCTTTGACAACTCAAATGTGTCTGGGCAGGCAGGATAAGTTAAGACCCTCTGTTTCCAATCATCTCTACCATGGCTGAGTAACCCAAGGGATGGAAATATACCAACTGATATAGACAGGAACATTTGAAGGCACTGTCTGTCATGAACGAATGGTTTCTGGGGACCACCTCGAGTCTGCCTATTTTGACATGCAGAATTTCCCTGCTTTGGTAGAAAGCCAGGGGGTGAGAGAGTGCATCTCCTATGACTGTCACCAGGAACTTGATATACAATGACAATGGCAGTTGACTTCTTGTGTCTGTTAGAACTGAACAGCATTGAAAACTGTATGGTTGAGCTGCTTTAAAAACACGCTGTTTTCAATAATTGTTTAGCCTTCCCAGATGGTTCTCAGAGCTGTGGGGAGTCACAGTTGGCAAGTGAATGGCTGCTGTGAGT